CATCAGTCAATGAATGCAGAGCGTGCGAAGATGCCCAAACAGAATATAAATATGAGTTGTTGCTTTCAAAAGGAGATTAAACGAGTACTGATCTGCTGAGTTTCTTGAGAATGTAAGCCACCACTGCAACAATGTTTATATGCTTCTTCTAACTTCTAGGGCATGCTGAACTTTCCATGTGTACACTCAGCTGCACGTAATTTGATGTATTTGTGGTATGCCCTAGTGTCTTATAAATGGTAACATCTAACAGACCACGATTGTCCTACTTCAGTATTTGTTCCCTTATGTCATATTAACAGTCTAAGGAAACCCAAAAAGTCCAATTTTATAGTTTTTATCTAAATAGAAAAAACAGTTATCAACATTTGGTTACATAATACATTGAGGAATGAATGGTTTAAAGTAGCAAATGACATCAATTGCAATTTTGAATTCTCATATTCAACTTTGCTCAGTCTCATCATTATATTCTCCTTTGGGAGACAATAGGGTATAGTCATCTTGGATTACCAAAGTATGAAGTATGGGGCATAGTCATCTTGGATTACCAAAGTATGAAGTATGGGGTATAGTCATCTTGGATTACCAAAGTATGAAGTATTAGGTATAGTTGATGTGACTAACTTAATATGGCATAACACAGGGACGGATCTGGGAACCAACAAGGGGGGTCCAAATTTCAGGTCAGATAAGAAAACTTCCTTATAAATTTTGGGCACCTAAAACGCAAAAGTGGGCCCAAATTTCGAGACTTTGAGGCCCATTCTCTTTAAAATTTGGCCTGAAATTATAAAATAAGGCCTTAGAAGGCCCAGTAATGATAAAAAAGGCCCACTTTTTGGGGACTTAAGGCCTTTTTTGGCCCAATTTTTTTCTGGGCCCAATTTTTTTTGGGCCCACCCCCAGCCCCCCCCCAGATCCGCCAGTATCACATATAGCCTCAACTAAACCAACTATATGCTGATTTCAGAATCAATAGCACTAAGTGTTGGTATGCTATATACATGAACTAAAACAACGATAATATAATACAAAAAGCCTGTGTACGCTAGAGACATGTCAGCCGGAGTTCAAACATGTCATAAAAACCTAACTGCCCGTGAAATGGACACAGACAGACACAAAAACTGCCAGTCATTTTTTTACAATAGTCTTGTTATTTACACAAACAAGCTGGTTAAAATATATCTTCATTGGTATTTAGACATTGTTTTTATAGCCATAGGTATCAAATCTGACATAGAGTATTGAATCCAGAAAATACCTTTAAGTATATCCCAATAGCACTTTATTGAAGATTTTAAAAACAGTTACAGTAACAGCAAAAAATCTAAGTAAACTGTCGATTTAAAAACCAATACACATCAATAGAACCATTTTGAAAGTTTTTTGAAGTATTTGGAGAGCTGTTGTATTTATTGATTTGAAATCACTCAACATTTCATCAGTTTTATTATTGAACAACGTTAAGTACATAAACATAAAACACTTACATTTTTTTAATGGAATACCTTTCATTTTTTATGTGTAAAGAACATTTCTACAAAAGCTGAATATTTTACTTACAATCCTTTTTATGGGCTGCTCTTTCAACAGGCATTTATTTAGGAATAATACTTTTTGTATAATACTTTCAATAGTATACGGAAGAGAATAAAAATGGGAGGGAGCAGAGAGGACACCTGTGTGAGGGGATAGGAGAGAATAGGTAAATGGCACAGCTGGGGGGAGGGGGAATATAAGGCTTAAATATAAGCCTTGCATAAAATATTAGTTAATCCAAACTCTATGTGAAAGGCAGAAAAATCCCAGGAATTAAAAGGGAGTATAGTTAGGATGATATACCTGAGAATGTAGGGTAAACCTCTATTAGATATAATTTTATCTAACCAACAAACCACTCACAGATGTTTGATTAGCACTTCAATATGACCAAGATGTTAAGAGGGAAACAGTAAGGTGTAACATACCAGCAACACTATAATACTTATTTCGACTTTGTGTCAGCATGCATCTAACATTATTTAACACCAACACCAAAGTTCCCAGGAAACCACCCTGGTCTTGAATATGTAGTCTTGCCTCAATCCTCGAAAGCCCCCCCTCCATATACCTCCACTTCACAAGGAAGTAAAGTAGATTGGGGGGGGGGGGGATCCAACTACTCATGCAAACCTGTACCATTAATGATTGCTTGAGGAACATATCATAACCAAGTATTCAAACGCTGTCAGTATTCAAAGTGCAGGTAACCTAAAACCTAATCCTTAGATCTGCACATCTGATTCTATCGCAGATGGGCTATATAGAAGTCCTTCCTCCTTCCAATCATTACAAACATTACTCTATGATGAAGTAGAGTAAAAGCTGTCTAATCCAAATGCGACTGGGATAGGCCAACAGTGTTCAGAGTTACAGGTGTTCACAATTCCAGTTCATTTTAACATGGAAGTCGATGGCAGATTAAAACAAGGCTTTGACATGCAAAATGACACTACCTGCCATTTTTTACAAACACAGAATACCAACCGCCAAACACCAATTGCTGAACACCAATTACCTAATATTGTCTACAAAAAAATTGGAGCCTATAAATGTCACAATTTCTGGTGGTGGCATAAAAATAAGACAGGTAAAATGTTCACATTGACAGATATTAATTCAGATTAGGGAGGTGTTCGAAAATACAGGTTTTACTCTATGGGATTGGGCAAAGGATCCGTTTTCTTAACAACATCCCAGGAAAGGCAATAGCTCTGAGAGGCCATTGAACATAACTTAGGGAAATCCTAAAATTCACAGGTTTCATTCTAATTCACAGTCACTACATAGTGATTGTGTATTTATTCTAAAATGAGCCAATTCCTAATTTTAAGGTTATGCATTAGACAGGATAAAACTCTATAAAATCAAGTTTATTCAGCGCTACTTCTAGACACTTCTAGGTACAATAGGTAAGCCATTCGCAACACTCTACAACTACTTCTAACTAAGTCAACATACCTCTAGATAAAACACCAACTAAACTTGCTACATTTAATTTTATACAATACTGAAATATATACCTTTGGTGGCCTCTGTGGCAGTAAGAAATCAAAGAATATAAATCAATCAGGAAGTTCTGAATGGCATTTACGATAACATTGTTTTTTTAAGAAATAAATTAAGTATACATGTGCTGCATTGATCAAAAGGTGCAGCACCCACTTGTTTTAATGTCAGTGAGATTACTGGTATCTATGATATATCATGATTTTTCAATAACAACAAATGGAAAAGAACTAAAGAACTTTCCAATACCTATTATCTACATCTGGATGAGGGAACATAAACAACATTGATTTTGTCAGGTAAAAGGCTATATTTATACCACAGCAAATATTTGCATCCGTAAAAAAGTTAATCTTGTTAGATACTAAACCAAGCTATATTTAAACAGAGATAAGTAAAACCAAATATAAGTGTAATCTTGGATTATCATTTTCAAAATTTTCTGCATGAAACATTCCCATACTTATTTCATGTATCAAGATAGTGTCCCTGCCGATAGAAAAGACAGGACAACCTGTAATGTTCAAATGCTGATAGCTGCACAAAATGAAGCTGAGTTCATAATTGTGTAACCCCCTCCCTTCCTCAAATAATGAAAATGTTGATTTGGTGTCTATTTAAAAATTAACATTTTCATGAACAAAATATCAACACCTCCCACCCAAATGAAATTAACCTTGTCCTTCCACAACTATTGTAATTCTACAAAATAAGACATATAGTCTACAGGGTAACCGGACAACTCATCCCCTAGACAACTCATCCCTGGACAACTCATCCCCTAGACAAATCATCCCCTAGACAACTCATTCCCTGGACAACTCATCCCCTAGACAACTCATCTAGGGGATGAGTTGTCCGTAAGCCGTCTACAGCACAGTTGCACAAAAAGTACCATGAACTCACTGAGGATACTCTAATCAAATATAAGAAATGTTCTATCAGCTATGCATAAGACTGTATTTGACTGAAAACTTTTGACAAAATCCAGTGGCAGAACATTTTCAGGATATGATCCAAATATGAAGAAAACCTGTTTCACAAACTAGTGTTCCTATATAGCAGTATAAAAATATACATTTAGTATATATTTGTAATGTGTTTGCCCCTAAGGCATCATACATGTGATTGATACAGGTTGAAAGGGAAAGTTCTTCACAACTATAAACCCTAGAATAAAAATACAATGCATATAGAATATTCTAAAATGAAAAATATGGCCAAAATAATGAAGCTAAAGGTACAGAAGAATTAGCTGAACATGCATGTTGTCAACACTTTTTATTACATGTATATAGAAACAAGAACAAAATATATTTTATTTCAATTTAGAAATGACATGGAATATTCATGAACTAATTTGATACATGGGTTCCAAGTACAATCAGCACCCCTCAGGTCAAACTGTTAAAACAATGTAAAACAATTATTCTGATTTTAATGTGTGTAAAACAATTGTATTGGCAGAATATATACATGTGACTATTTCAGGGTTACACTAGTTCACTCACTCAGGTGGAGAAAATAGAAAGTACACAAAGACAGATGGACAACTGTGTCCCACTGGTGGATCTGTTTGGGGGGAGAGTACTGAGAAAAAATAATCTTCGATTTTAGAAAATATGGGCCCAAAAATAGGTGCAAATTTTCAGAAAACTCACCAAAAAGTGAGTATCAAGAATAAAAAATAATTCCACCCTTCTCAATTTCCAGATTATCTCTATCCAGAGAGTCAATGACAACATGAGTCAGTACCTTCATAAGCATAACGAGACATGTTCTCTATCAGGAGATCCTTCTTTCAGTTTCCTTCTTATTGACAGTTGGAACAGAAAGATTTGATGTGTATGTAGTGCTGTTAAGGGTATTGGGTATTGATACCAACACTCTATGACCACAAGTTGTACCACAAAAATTGTTTTTACAACATTATATTCTGTACTCACCCGAGTTCTCTGTAGCGGATTCTTGAAGTCATAGTCGGGAGAGATGAACAAGTAGCCACATTTAGAAATCTTACGTGTTGCCTGAAATCAGAAAGAAATCATAAAATCATCTTACAACTAAAACGCATATGTGGCAACATGTGATTATATACCACAAGCATACATAAAACATGCAACAATTGTAACATAGATGTCAAAATGACGATAACACATGCCCCAACATTTCTGAGATCATGCTACTAATAAACCAAAGGGATGCGATTAGTTTCGGAACAAGATGTCAGTTTTACTTAATTCTTGATATTGTGTTATTGTGAATAGGTAGATTTCAGGCGTAAAAGAAGATTTCTTTTTTACGTGATCCAAATTGAATGTTATGAATAAAATTCAAATGCTAGACAGATTCGATATAACGAAAAACGAATACATGTATTAAGTGACACACAAAAAAAGATAAAATAGATTACATCAGTCTAGACACAAAAAAAACTTCAAAAGTTCAAGATTTTGTGACAAATTGACAGCAGATTCATAGTAGCCCGTTTCATTTTTCATTTTTTTCTTAACTTTTGATCTTCACGCTTTTTTCATACAGTAATTGCCCATCTGTTCAAAATAATGTATGAACTCAACATGGGTTCAAAAGGTAGAAAAGAAGGTGATTCAGTTATGAAAAGTGATGCAAATTTACGAGGGCAAAGTAAAATAAAATCCAACAACCAACAGCAATATGCCATTATGAAAACCATATTTCAAACCAAACAATTGTTTCTCATGTTGCAAGTAGCTAAAAATATGACTAAATCTAACAATCAGCAACAACACAAAACATGGAACAAGAAAAACATATGTACAACCTGTACAAACATATAAAGATAGCGACTATCTTACCAATTACATGTGTTTTATACTATTGTACTAGACCTCAACTTAAAACCGATAGTATCTTATAGGCCAATTGAAAGATATGTCAATCTTAACATATTCTGATGACACGATATGAAAAATGCTTTAAGCAAAATGATCCTCTTACTGCTAGACTAGCTTCCTAGTCAACTCGTACCCAAGACAACTCGTACCCAAGACAACTGGTACCCAAGACAACTCGTACCCAAGATTATTTTCAGTATAATGGGTGCACATTGGGGAAAAAATTGAGTTTGTAATGCTTTCAGGTTGTAATGTGAATCAAATAAGCCTCAATATTATTTTGAATTTAGACGACCTTTTTTCTCAATGGATCAGTAAAGCATTTTTTTAATTAAATAAAAGAAGTGCTTGAAGCGCTTGTTCACAACATTTTTTTGTCAAACATATATACAAATAAATATAATTACAACATTTGATCTGACACTTGTTCCAAACACTCATAAACATACAATATTTTGAAAAATGATTATGAATATGTGGAATAAACATATGTCTCTTCACTCGAACATCCTGAATCTGTGACCAATATAAAATAATAGTCAATATAAATTGACACTCAGCTCAAAATGTCACAAAATTAAATCAATTTCTTCCGAAAATTCTTCTTCAAACTTTAAACTATTCTGAACAGTATGTTACAATTATAATATGTATATCTATTCACATGCCCAGTCCAAAATATATACTTGGGTACGACTTGTCTTGGGTACGAGTTGACCAGTTACCCTAGACTAAAATATTACTGAGGGATGGTAATAGCTAAGAAACAGGCTTAGACCAAGAATGTCTCCTATGCATACATGACATTCATTCTTGGCTGGGGATGCTTCTGCTTACTGGGGCACCTTGACTCTCAAGTCTTTCCACAGAAATATAGAGGGTTTGAAACTTGACATTATATGTTTATTTACAGATCTTTCACAGTAGAACGGATTCCCTGAGCGCATCTGAACTGCATCCTACGTATATAGTCTATATTTTTTGATACTATTCAGGGGCAAATCCGAAAATTCTGACTGTTCTGACCTTAGGCCCAAATTTTGAAAATCTAAGGCCTATTTTTTCATAATTTGGCCTAAGTTAAATTGAAAAAAGGCCCAAAAGGCCCAGTAGTACCCAAAAAGGCCAACTTATTGGGGCCCAATAATGCAATTTTTTTTAAATTATTTTTTGCACCCATTTATCCAAGGACCCCCCCAGATCTGCCAGTGAAATGATATAACTGTGAAAATGTAATCGTATACATGATCATAATCTCTTTTAACCAAACTTGAATAAATATTTCTGGCAGTTAGGTTGACTTATCACAGTAAAATCATATGCCAATAAATACTCAAATGAATGTAATCTTTTTTAAATAAACATGAGATAAATCTCATAAACTTGAGTTTGGAGAAAAATAAAATTGAAAGTTAACCTTAAAATGACCCGACTTGAATACCAATGAAACCACAAACGAATCCATTTTTTATAATTTAAAATTATTCTAAAAAGTCTTTAGCATTTATGTTCTTATTCTAAAATGTGGTTTTGGAATATGAAAAGAAACAGAGAGAAGAGACAGACATCAGAATCATGTGAAATGATAATAAAAATCAGGCCAGTACATAATGTTAAAATCTTGAAAAAATTCAACCCTATCAGAAATGGTTCTCATTTAGTGTTAAAATTTTGAATAATCAACCAGATTCTGAATACTTTTTAGAGTGAACATAGTCCAAAACCAATCCCTGGTGTATTTCTGCTATTAATCAATAAGTGATAATGACATTCATAGAATTTGGGGAAAGCTGTAAAATGGTACCAGACAAAAGTGGGTGGATTGAAATGGAATGTTGATGTGAGGGTTTCAAGTCTGGAGATGGGAGATCATGAGGGGATCAAGTACATGTGTAGTTGTGCATGTCATAAACTTGACTCATTCTATTGAAACTCAAAAAGTAAAAAATAGAACAGGCATGTATTGTACACGTTCATTTATATATTCCGTCACAAGATGACTCCTCCTTCGCCCTTTTATATTCCTTTCTCACTTTATCAGTCATTTGAATTGACAAATATGATCATATAAACAGGGAACAAAAATATGGTACAAGTATATTTCAAAAACAATTCATCAATTGGCCTGATCTCTCTTGACAGAGTTCTAAAGTTCCTATCATCATCAATCACTGTGATGGCTGGTGGTGATTGATTATGTAAAACAGACACACCGATTTTGTTGACCAAGTGCTCCATCCTGTAGAAAATTAAATTGCATCCTCTCAAAAGTGTGAAATATTAAAATATATGTAGTAAAATAGTATAACTAAAATTTATCAATCTGCTGAGAAAAATCATGGGGATTCTCACTGCAATCATAAAAATCACTTTTATAAATGAAATAGATTAAAAGGACAATCTGGTATGAAGCACATCGTTAACGTTAATAGATGTATTTGTTAATTAAAATTGATCACACAAACTGATTATTTTTGATCAAGATTGTGCTGGATCCAACAATCTTAACTGATTGTGCTGGCTGATAATTGATTGTGCTGGACAATCATAATTGATTGTGTTGGACAATCATAATTGATAATGATGAGGTTGAGATTGGCATACAATTCAAATAAATATAATAATAATGTATTGTGAATGAAGTCCAGATAGCCATCCACACAGTAAATCATCTCCTATCTTAAAAGCTTCATTGTACAGGTGCCAGAGAGGCAGTCCATCACGATGAATCAAGACATCTGATCCTAGTGTCAATTTGAGGTCAAACTAGAGGTAAACTTATTGCTGAGAGATTCAGGGGTGTATGGGTAATTTTTGTTGTTTTTGAGCCAGTAATTATGATTACAAAGAACATTTAAATGAGGCAATACTTTGAGGGCATATAAAATAAATAGTTTTATATTACATTTAGTGTCTATCCTCCTTGACCATCCTCCAATGAATGATTTTCTCAACCAGATGTAAACTGTATGTATATCTGAGGCATAAGGCATGCATAAGGCAGTCCTCAATAACATTTCCTTGTTAGAATGGCTGACAGGGTATATAGGACTCATTTTATAGAATTTTGGCTTTTCCTGAATTATTTTGGCTTTTTCTAAAAAAAGGATCAGAATTTTTGAAAAAAACTGGTGATTTTCACCAAAATTTTAGGAATACTGTTATCAATTTTCAAGTCTAACCACGATTATCAATAATTTTCATAATAAATAAATAAAATTCATGAAATCTTTTCATTTCCATTTAAAATCCCATTCACAGTTTGTATACAGTACTTTCTGTAAGCTGTTAACAGGTTAACATGGTAAAGGCCCAATTATTATGACAAAATGACTGTGGTCCTCAATACACTATAATTGCTAGTTCAAGTAACTTGTGGGAAAGTGGTCCAGGCATAATGGTTTATGTTTTAATGCTCAGTGGGTAACAATAGTTGAACATGGAAAGAGGTGCCAGAGACCCTTAAGCTAAGTTCACATTAACAAACAAACATACTGATAGTATTTTGTGAACATGATAAAAAAGTTAATAGTTTGGGTCTATATAAGGTCATGATGTCTTAGTAGAGTAGTCTAACTTGATATATTGTTGATAATTATGAACTGTGTTTAGCTGCGTAGGAGAATTCAGTTCCCCTCATAAATTCACCGGCTGACGTCCCAAATTCAACTCATATCCTATAATTGTTTTGTACTTAATTAACGATGACAAGACACCAAACCATGTTGGAAATAACATTTCCCCCATAAATCTATTAAAAAACTTCATTCCACAAAAATATATTTTATTATTTCCAAAAACAAGTTAACCATGTCAATGATTGATTAAATGTTGAAGATGAGGAAATTTATTTCTATTTTATATATCATACTTTCCAGAACGAATCAATCAGAATTAATTAGAATACCCTTTTATAGAATCAAACCTTTTTTAATAAGCATCATACCTTTCTCATGACTGAAAAAAGGAGATGACATTATTTTTGGTTCTACAGCCTCTTATATCTTGAGAAACTGTGAGATACAGAACTCTGAAAAATCAGGATGAAATGACATGGTTTATCACAAAGGTCCCTATCAATGATGAGGTCTAACATTGTTACAATGCCTGTGAAGTCTCTTGTTTGACCCAGCATTGTAAGTCCTTCAGACAGAGTGATTAATGGTTCTCCTATTCAATTATTGCTTGGTAGCAGAGAGGGAAATTATCATTGTTTTTGGCATTTTATCATAATATTTCATTTTATCCAGTTCACGCCCTTTTTCTCAACTGACGAAACCAATAGTGAGAAGCTAATATGCATGCTGGAGCTGCTATGGTTGACATGCATGGTGGATTTGATTTCACTAAATAACAAATGGGATACAATGTTGAAACTCTGACGCAATACAAATATATAATGAAAAAACCTAGTCTACCAAAGTCCAAATTGAGCATAAAATATGATATGGAGATATACAATTCCTCATAGTTATCATTTTGAAACTCATCAGTATTCTTCACAAAACGTTCCCATCAAGTGAAATATATGACATGGATCCTAGGGTGGGTCTGGAAATTGACAAGGTTATTGGCAAAACAATGTTTTGAATATCCCTTGAGAATCTGGACTTATTTTTCCAAAAAGGGCTGAAACCCTACCAGGTAGCCATCAGCTCTTACAAAGAGTATAGGGAAAGGGTAAACATGAAATGAACTTACAAGAAATAGGATTCTGACAGCTTTCTAACAGGTAATAGACATCTTGATTCAGATACAATCTCGTAGCTGATCCCCTAACATGTCTGGCTTTTATATTTTTGTATCGGTCAATCAATGGTCAAATTATAACTTACTTCCAATATTTCTATCAAGTCACAATATAGTTTGTTGATGACCGAATATAAAAATCAGCCTTCCAACAAGCATTTTGCCTATCGATAAACAGAGGGCCATTGTATGACCAAATAACATGAAAATATAGAATTAAGGAAAATGATGAAAAGTAAACAGATATAAAGCTCTACAGTAGACATGGTAACAAGAAATATGAGAAAAAATAGGTACAGTAAATGTACATGTAGTTCAAAGAAAAATATATTTCAACAGACTACCAGAGAAGCATTCCTGATGGGACAAAGTACTTAAAACATTTCCACAGTACAAGAAAACACTTCAAGTTTTTTTAATATGGTCCTATAGGACGATAAAACACAGGCATGGAATGACTCAAAAGTCAAAATGAAAGGTTTATTTGAAGTTAAAATACCATTAATACGAATCTGAAGTCACTGAGACTGATTTAAAAAAAATATCAATTCCCATCTTCAATATAATTTTGATAATATTATTATAAAATTTTAATAAAATATAACTGTTTAATAATAACTTATCAGTAACTTGAATTTCATTCAATACTTTTGGCTAGTAAAAGGTAAATATTGGCATAGAAGTGTCAAGTCTGTCATTTCATTCATAAAAATGAGAAATATTTTGAGTCACACAGACGTATGATATCAATGAAACATTTTATGTGCTTTTGACAAATAAAAGCTTTTTATTCAAAATAGTTTTTATGTACTTAAAACCACTTGACATATATCCAGTCTGGCATTCTGTGGTCCATATAATGAAAATGATAAAATTAACCAATTAGATAAAAAAAAAATCAAATCGTCAAAAATATGTACAAACAAAAGTGGAATGTGATTCATTTATTTTTTAATTTGAGGTTAGGTCAAGAGTGACATTACTGAAAGATTTTTATATGTTTAAAATAACCTTCCACAAAATCACTTGGCACATGCATGTATAAGTGACTTATCAACTTGAAAATGTCTTATATTTTATCTGTGATAATTAACTTATAATTACAGCCGATGAATTGAGTTACAAACACTGAGCTAACACACTTGAATGTCTTAAGTAAACTGGTAAATGATCGAACCCAAATATTTGGTAATAAAAATAAATAAAAGGTCGCATTGCAAGTGTAAAATTATAAATATAAAATCCATGGGAAAACTAAGTACAATTCAATTAATAGTCTCCAATGATGAACAGCAAAAGATAACTATATAGGGATAAAGGTGTTCATACTAAGTTTTCTTTTCTTCATCCTAGGTTTGTTACATTCAGTAATTTTGTTCATAAAATAAAAAATAAGAAATATAGTTTGAGTATCAATATATTATAGTTATGAAAGGCAAGTTAATATCAACCTGATAAGCAAAGTCACCTCCTTAGCTCTCTAGTCAGGTATATTGCAATAAACATGCCCCCTTTGTCTTTATCCTTCCAAAGTAATGACAGATAAGAGGGGCTCTGGCATATCAGAATGGTGAGGTGTTAATATACCAGAATGAGCCAAACAATGATATAAAACAAGAGAAAAGAACTGCATAGTTAAGTTGAATTAGTTTGGTTAAGCTACGTTCACACCAATGGCGCTTTGATGGCGCTTTAATGCGGAGTGCGAAGTGGCTTTGCACGTCGCATTAAAGCGCCATCAAAGCGCCATTGGTGTGAATGTAGCTTTAGTAAATATAAGACCTCATAACATTACACATTTTATAATATGGCATAAAATTACTAACAGCAATTACTACTATAGGCAAGTTCTCTTTGAAAAATATTGAACTCTTGAAATGGGGACTGGTTCCCTATAACTGACCTATATTGTATTATGTTTATATCTTCCCAACATTTAAGCTAGATGCAGGGCATCACAAATATGTCCTTTACTCATGTCACTTCAAACTACCAAATCTTATTTTAGCACAATGAAAAATCATCATGTAGTTTTCCCACTGGGAGTCCAATTGGTACCATATAATACACATTACCTTTAATTGGAACTTTTGTCTGATTACAAAATAACATAATGCAATTATTAGCCTGTCCTATAGGAGAGATAGTAGAACACAGTATGATACATATTAACATACATTGTTATCGTGTCATGAAATTACTTCCCGCCTGTATAGAATATGTTAGCCAAATGTTTAATCTCCGAAAAATCATTTTTACTTAACCTCCTATTAAAACAAAATTTCTGCCAACTTTTAAATACTTCCCCGACTATAAAGTACCCAAAATAAATACTGTATGCATCAGTATACAGGTATATAATTTTCAATTATTCAGTTTTACTTAAATATCTACATGTAATGGTTAGTTATTAGTGAAAAAAAAATTGGGATAAAATAATTACGTATGTTTTGTTTGCCTCGTAGAGTTAGGTAATGAACCTTAATGGAACTTGCGTGAGAAATGTGAGGTAGATGTTCAAAAGCTGTAAGATTTACATGACCTGTCAATTTCTAGAATAGCAGTCTAGCATATTAGGGGGCAATTTAAGACTACACTGGTGGGAATATTTGTCTGCATTAATGAAAAAAGAAACACAAATACATCGATCTGAAGGAGACCATCAAAATATCTCCAAGTATTTTTATAATATCACATCTTTGTGGCTATCATAAAGTTTAAGCAGGGTTTACTTATGTTAAGTTAATTAACAGGAAGAAACACAAGTAAATGCTTAGCACACAGTGTCGTAATTCCATAATTTTGGAAGAGTAGACCCCCTACTAGATACAACCCTTGCATTCTCGTACATTACAAGGTGAACATATAATTTTAAATGATAACTAAAAATATGTATCAATCCATCCAACCTTACCTATTTGAATGAATGATATTCACTAGAGACCACATAATCAATTGAGCGAAATCTAAATTCATGAATGATAGGCCTAGGACAGTAATTTGACCATGTTTGGGCTTTTGACCAAAATCTTGATATTCCGTACTATCTATTTTCATCAGTTTAAATTCAATATTACACCTATGTAACATGTATCACACAAACATAGTGGATATTATGTCAAAACATGTCATATCACATTATGTAATTGTGGACTGAAGTAGAACTGTATCTGCTGAAGTATATGATAGCTCAACAGTACTAACCTCCTTATACAACACCAAAACAATACAGTCACCCTTGCTAAATGAAATAAGTATTCATACCAAATGGTCAAGGAATATCAATTACTAATAATTAGTTGATTCATGATAGGTGTTTCAAAATGGGATTTACAAAGCCAACATAAACACATACAGCTTGAAGAATATGTTTGAATGAATGACATTTGCTCATGATAAACTGTTTAGAAACCTGAGATTTTTCATGAGTGTAAAAACTTTACTCAAATATTTGATTAAGCTGAAATGTATTGTATTCTCTACTCTATGTATATCCGGAACAAATATGCAAAATGGTGATACATTGTTTCATAAAAGACATTAAATTTGTTTGAAACTTTGTCTTGTGCCAAATCCACTATTTGTATCGCACGCTGATGACTGTTTAAACACAAGACATGATATATTATCTAACATAACTATTGAGAACTAGGCTGTTTCAATGCCATTTGATAACATATCTATATGAGAGACTGCTGATAATAAAGAAGTGGTGACAGATTGACGTATTGCGAATTACAAGATATATCTAACAAATGAAAATCAATTGTTTTTACTTGAATAAACAGTTCTCAATATTCAAAATCAATACTATTACAACTCATACATCATATTTAATGTGAGAACCAAAAATATGCTGTCTTATGTTACTGCTTGCGGTTAAAGATCAGAATGATATTGATAAATCTTCATTATTCTTTTTCACAATGTTTTGGTAAAAATCATAGATCAGAGGCATAAGCCAAGCATACGTGTGTAAGACGTGATCCCAGGAAAGCGCAGGGTGGTAAAGACCTATGATGACATCAAGATAGGGCAATTACATCAAAGATTTCTGAGATCTCCAATGGGACGAAGTTATACATTATAGACAATGATCATATAATAACACAATACTTACCCTATTTGATTCTAGCGCTTCTGCAGAATGTTGCTCCTTGGGATGAAAACAATTTTGACATTTATTCTTGTTGAATATGTTCGCTTCAAACTTGCGACACTTGGAAGCCATTGCTCCAGACCAGTATGTAATCCAAACTTCAGTGGGTCCTATACTATAATCCCATGCCAAGGGACCTTCTACAAACTGATTTGATTTAAATCAATTCATTCAATGGATTTTATTTTGGGTTTTGTATTGAAAAAAATCCAATGTTTTGATAACATTCACAACTGATTTCCTTCCTCCTGTTTGCGTATCCTTTGATTTGAGAAGACCAACGGATGACTCAACACTATAAAAGTACAGTAAAAACAATATATTCAAATCAAAACACAAATATTGGCTGTAAAAGCACTTTTATTGTCGAAATCTTCAAATTTTCCGCTCGGCCTAAAATAATCTTGTTACTGTGACCAAAGAACACCTACATAATAAATACGCAACGCGCATTAATACTTCATAAACTTTTTTCCAAAGTTCTAAAACATGTCTGAATCAATTACATTTAGTTAATGTTTACTTTATTGTCGTATATAAAATACAGTTTTGTGCATTGAAGTGGAAGGCTTGATTAATTAGAGTGACGGTTGTGAAGGACTATTTTATCAATTAGCACTACTTCTTTTCTTTATACTGACATCTATAATTAAAATTGATCATAAATACTAGCATGGAGTCCAGAAAGGCATATTCAATAAAACTTGGTCAGTTTGTGGATCCTTTATTATCATGATTATAGAAGCAGTTTATATATAAAATGTAGAGGCAATGGCGTAGCGTCATATACGCAAAAAACGCCATTGCGTACTCTCAAATTTGAGATAATAATAAAATAACGCCAACGAGTTTTATTTCCAAGAAGCACCTATTTCGCCTTGCCATTATTTTAAAACGGGTTCATGTAATCATAAAATATTGGATAAAAATGACTAATAATTTACTTTTAATTGGTCCAGATTAAGTCGGAATTTCGTATTTCAAACCGACCCAGGACGCTTCAAATGCAATCTCATTTTGAAATTTTCTTGGGGGAGAGCCCCCAAGAAACCCCCTCAAACTCGTTCACTTCGCTCACTCGTGGTGTACTCTCACAAAATACCCACGCTACGCCTCTGAGAGGGAACTTGTATCTCTTTTCTTGCACCAAGCATCTATCATCTTTCATTCAACCACTTCTACATTTATTTGGTGTTTCATCTCTAATTGGGAGGGGAGAGCATGTATGGTATACTAAGCCAAAATATGTGATCCAAACAAATATTTCAAAGCAGTACCATGGAAAATGTCACTACCTGCCATTTGTTACAGACGCCAACCACTATCCACAAAAAAGTTGGAGATTATATAACAATAAATCACAACTTTTGGTGGTGACATAATAACTCATATTTGGCACAAGTGAACTTTGTTCAATGTTTTTTTCATTCTACTAACTTTTATTCATTTCAAATCGCTATAAAATCGTGACCATTTGTAATAGACAAAGGAAACTTGGTAGAATGAAATAACATTGAACAAGGTTTAATTGTGCCAAATAAGATTTTACATCCATGCTGAATGACTGAGTTATTACCATTTGTCTGGGTTACATTTTTGGCTCACTCTGTATATACATGTCTCTCCTTGATATGAAAACATGTAGCCATGTTAACCAAAGAGACTCAAATGTTGCCAAAAATCTTGAAGAAAATTCTAGAATTTTGCCATAACTAATATATTACTAATAATCAAGGGTTAATTAGGGTGAATTTAACACATTTTGCTGGCAGATTTATCTTGCTTTCGAAATGTTCCCTGGACACGTGGATTAAATGTTTCAAAATATTAATTGGTTCAACCACAAAATAAAAGACTACATACAGTTTTTAGATATTTCAAATTATTTATTTCAACCATGGATGGATTTCAAATGCATAGCTAATACAAATATACAATAAATAACACTTATATACACATTTGGCACTTTTGCATCTAATTTCTAGAAGCGTTTTATCTCACATTTGAATTTTTCAACATTTCAAATGATATTTTAAAAAATATTGTGATTCCCCTGAAACAAATTCTTTTTTTTGCATACAAACTGCATCAGTTAATTTCATATCGAAGTATTGCACATAAAACATGTAATATCACAAGTAATTTTCCTTCAGCGCTTCATCAATTTTTAAACTAGCACAATGTAAAACTACATTTCTACAAATGTATAATTGGATATACAGTGTATATGGTGAATGTTCTTCCATTTACTAAACATTATTTAAATATTGACACATTGAACAAATATCAAAAATATACAGATGTAGTCCTAAGGCCACTTAAGATCACAGTTGCTTTAAATATTGGTGTTATCACGCAGCAGTTACACAGTTATACATCAGCAGCAACGAGGGCAGCTTCTATAGCAGCATCAGCCCCAGCCTTGACAGAATCAGCATCTTTCTGAAAACAAACAGAAACAGAAACTTTAATTTTACAGAAATGTTATAGATATTTTGTAAGAGATGAGAGAATCATTAACAGAATCTTCCTGAATTAATTATTGTAACAATGGATAATGACCTCACAGTAAGGGAGCAATGGACTATAAGAATTCTTAACTGTGTAAAGTTTTTGTTAATGATCCCCAGGTTAATATATCAAATTGAAAATAATAGGTTACTTGGACTCTTTTAATGATAAAATTTTGTGAGCTTGCAAGACAAAGTTATTTTTAGTTTTCATTTAGTAGTACTCATTCATGAGAAAAAAATTACTTAGACAATAAATGTTTTTACATCTCTTTTACTGACAATTTTCTCGTTAAAAATATATGCATTCATTAAAACTTACCCTTTGTTCCAGAATGAGTAAATTACTGAGTCTTTTGACTTCTCCCCGATTTTCCAGCAATGCGGCTTGACGACGTTGATGTTCGCGAAGTGAGGCCCTCTGGGTGGAGACAAACTTTGCATTTTGTTTATTTCCTGTCTCAATTAATGACTGATGTTGTTTTTCTATATGCCTGACATTTTTATAAGACTCCTTCATAATGTCTCGATATGTTGGAGTGTTAAGTGGAGGAAGATTTTCAACAATTGTTCGTTGAACTTTGACGTGAGTTCCTGCATCATCAATGAGATTCTTCATTCGTAGAAAATGTGCCACGAGAGGGCTCTGACCATGGATGTTGAAGATTGTCCTGATGTAATCGGGTCCTTTACAACATGGATGTGACTGGAATAGGATTAAAATAAATGAAATATAACCTAGAAAATTAAATGCACAGAATCAGAATGGAAGTGAATATTATGTTTGTTTACCTTTCCAGAGGTAGACTGGGTAAGTCATTTGTATTAAGCAAAACTATGTATATAGTGTACATCAAATCAAGAAAACTGAGTTGTGTATTTAAATTGAATTAAATCAATTTCCCTAGCAGACCTTTATTATATAGATTTATTGTATTGGAAAATACTAACAGTACAATTTCATGAATTATAATGAAAGATGTCTCAGCTACAGATTACAATAAAAAGAAAATAACTTTAGGCTCTACCTCAATTTCATCTTTATCTTGGGCATCAGTCATATTAACATGAGACACAGTCATGCCTTTTGATTTCACTTTATGTACTTTAGAACCCTTCTCAACTCGAGGAGAGACTTCGGCCACTGATTCATGTTCCTTGATAGGTGAAAGTCCATCCATTTCATTTGTCCTTGACCTCTGCACATGTGAACTTGAGCTGGATGAGGGCTGTTGTGTTTGAGCATTTCCTACTTCACTGATAACATCAATTTTGCTACTCCGTGAGTTTTTTCTGGAAATTCTATTTTGGCTAGCAGCAGAATTTGATTTCAGTAGGCTGGCTGATGATGTTTTGCTCTCAGAGACATCTATTGAGGTACCACTGGGTTCAATGAGGTTGTCGAGGAAATCAAAGTTTAGTAATGAGGCTGAAAGGAGGCAGAGATAAGAATGAAAGCATACAGTTACCAAATTGGGCGAATGTACATTGAACAACCATTTTTGTACCCCGAATGTGAGAGCTCATTCTGATACTCATAGCATCTTTCTGTTTCACCTGAAACATGCTCTGATATTATGAGGCATATTCTGTGATCTGAGGACATCAGATGGGAAGAGTTATAACTGTCAATAAGTGTGATAGTTATCATGTAATCATCTACCTTAATGTCAATACATTACATAATAGGCATTGTATTTAACAGCAGATATTTGAACAGATACAGATACACAAGCTTTATGACCCCAATTAGATGAAATATGAGCTGAGATGAAAGATCTCAAAAATCTTCAATTTTGGGCTCTCCTGGATCGCCAAATCAAGCTCATTATATCATGGCATCTCAGGGCTGAGAAGAAATGAGATGACATGGTATATCATGATGGTGAGAGCTGAGCAACTAGCTCTGAACAGAGAAATATATATAATTTTTTAATGCTAATAAGATCCAAATAAATGACCAAAAATAAATTCTAGGTACTTGGAGAAAAGAATCAGTGAAAGGTATTTTGATTTGGTACATGTAAGGTTAGATCAAAATAAATCTCAAACTCAAAGAGAGTAGAAGCTTTGTTTAAAAGATGTAAAATAAAACTATTGAAAACGAGCACCATTTTTAAGACTTGTGTCAAAAATTCAAACATTTTCTGTATTAATCAATCTCATTTTAATTATGAATACTGTTGTAAAAACTGGCTCTCACCTTTCTTCTTTTGTTTGGCTTTTCGTTTGCTTTTCATTATTTCTTCCCTAGTTTTAATATGTTCAGGCTCTAATTTCTCCAGATTCCACTTCATGTATGATCTAGGGTAGGGCTTCACCCCTGTAGGAAAAAGACGTCAAATAATTTAATTTTAGCAAATTCTGTATAAATTGACATAGCTTGGTGGGTTTTTAATTTTAATGCCTGTTCTTTTCATTTTTTTTGGCAAATTACCCAACAATTCTGTTTTAAAAAGCAAGACCAAATCACCACTTAAAATGTGTATTTCATACACTTACCAGCCACCCACTCTCCACACAGCCCAGCAAGGTCTTCTTTGAAATCATCATTAAACTGTCGAAAGGAGTCGGGGAATGATTCACAGAATGCCACATAGACAGCCTGGGCTAGTATATCAGGATAATCCTGAAGTGGTAATGAAATACATATATATTCATCAGTATTTGGGAGTCTAAATGATCAGATTAAAAGTTGAGATTACTGTAAGACATATCAGAAGATATTTGTTATACTAAATCTTCAATATTATATTAAAGCAATAAAATTAGGAGTTTAGGAGCATAGACCTTATTATGAAGTCTATATAGATAAATACAAAATAGGCTATCAATTTTTGAAAACTTCTTGTCTTTTGTCTTCTGAGATTTAGGAGAAATAAAATGTTGAGATATCATACATGTACATTTTGTATGCAACAAATATTTACACAGTCATGTACTATTCTCAAACTCTACTTACTATAAGGACTTTAAATAGCAACTTAATTTTAAGTATATGTACAGGGTGTCCCGAAAGTATGTATGTATTAGTAACTTACCCTGAGGAAGACATCTCTGTATTTTGGTTCCTTGGCATATGTGAGCAGTTTGACATAGTTGTGGGCAATACGATTGAATAGTTTCACCTGATTGTGTTTACTGGTCTGGAACTTTTCCAGGAAGAACCACCAAAATGTGTCCTGTAAGCAGAAAAGTCCATGTGAGAATTCTTTTAATGTCTAGGATACCAGAACATTTTAGATTTTAGATTGAATAGAGTGTATGTAAAAGTATTTGTTTTGTCAGAAAAGAGGGCAACTTTGAAGTATCCTTTTGTCCAATATCATTTTTTGTCAAGCCTAGTTTCCCACAAATCCCCATAAGTTAAGTTTTCTAACAAATGACACCACGTACTGTATTCAAATTTTGAATCTTAGATATATTACATTTTTAGTTAAGCACACATTGGTTGGAAAATAAATATTGCTTGAGGTTTCGCTGCCCTCAGTTGATTTATTAAGAACTGTACATGGAATCGGTGATTTATTAGTAAACAACCTACCTGTAAAACAGCCTGAGACATCTGGGAGTAGAACAACCTGTTGAACTCTGGTTTGTAGTTTGGCTAGATATAAAAATGCAAGAAACACATATATATATAATCTGGATTGGATTGGAGATGATGTTAAATGTACATGTGGATCATTTGGAAATGAGTCTCAATAAAATGCAACTTGTTTGTTTAAATAATCAACAAACAAACATTAAAAAATGGTCAAACAAATGAATTACAACATTATGAATTGCTATAACATACTATGCTTATAACATGTTCATACCATAATTATGGTTAATGAAAACACAGGAGCAAATAAAAGGAATTCTTGGTGACCGTTTACACAAATCTACATTTTTCTTAAACAACTGCACCGGCCAATTCCTCTCCTAAAAATACCCGAAAATATTTTTGACCAACAATGGCTCAAGATTTGAATCTTCTTGTGAAATCTGTATTTACAGCTTACCTTGCTTTTAAGTTTTGGTTGTGCCTCAGAAACCTTCCCAAGGATGTCTTCAGTGGGAATGTCATTGGGAAGTGGGGTCAGTTCAGTTGGGTCATATCCTGGGAACTGGTGAAGCTGTAACAACCAATGAAACTTTGAGTCGATATCAGATTATAAATTGTTTTATTTTTTACTATCAATTATAACCAACTATCTCATAATCTAAGGACATTTTTGACGAATGTTTTTCCTGCTTATGTTGAGTATTTAGCTTTATTATACATACATACCTCTACAAACTTTGGTTTTCCCTTATCTTTGTTGTTGACACTCTTCGACTGAAATGAAAATATGGATATGGTTCTTGTATAAAGTATATCAACAAAAAACAAACAAACAAACAAACAATAAAACAAACAAGTAAATTGCCAAATAAACAAATACTTAAAAGGGCTAAGTACCTAATGAGAATACATCTAATGTATTTCTGAACAAAATATGTTTACTTACAGAACTTTTACTTGGTTGTACTGATATCTTGGAGATGTTCTTTACTCTTTCACTTTCATTGGGTGCCAGAACTGCAGAATAGAGAAGATGTAACTTAATTCTAGGAATCTAGTAACCAGGCAAACATGCAACTTGCTGCATCGACCTTCAGACCTGTTCTCATAAAATGTAGTGATTGTGTGGTTGAACCGACAATGGCAAACATGTACATTGTACAGTAAAACCTACCTCAGTAGAACACGTTTGGTACCTCTAAAAAGTGTTCCAATTGGGAGGTGTTTCACTTATAGAGGGTTCATTTAACATTAATTGAGTTGGTCTTGGGACTCTGAAAAGTGTTCCACTAACAGAGGTGTTCCACTTCTAGAGGTGTTTGACTTAACAGGTTTCACTGTACATGCAGGAAATGTTTAAAGTTCAATAAAATGAAATCATATCAATTAATGAGGTCTCTTGTACTTCATGTGATTTTAAAGAAGAATTAGACTTCTGAACTATTCCTACATAATATTCCAGAATGTATTCTTGATTCTGTATGATATACTTACTAGCTTGCATTGAAAAGAGCCCTGAGAATCTGTTTATCTCTTTATTTTCACATTCTGTAAGAATAAGAAAAGATCAAAAAATTACATGTAGTCTACAAGTCATATTCAAATTATTTTCATGAAATACCAACATAAGACAAATATGCAGTAAAAACAGATTGCAAATGGAGTTTATAGACTGAAAACATACATTTCTCCAATATTTTGTCAAATCATTAAAACTCATTGATCTACTAGAAAATAATGTATATTTACAAGAAATGATTTTTACATGTTTGGAAGTGGTTCAGGTTTTAAAGACATACCAAACCAATTGTATTTGTACCTTTATCCTATTTTGAAGAACTTAGCCCAATTAAGAGCAAAACTGTATGTAACCAAATAACACATAGCAAAAGTAGTGCAGCTGAAACAACTTATCTTGATTTTAAAGTGAACCTATCCCATCTATTTACAGCAAGATAATGTCATGTAAGCCTTAAATTTAATTGCATTGAGTCACTACCCCCTACTACTACCCCCCACCATTCTTAGCCATAATGTCCCTATCATTGAATATATGCCTGAGGTCTGACGTCAATATAGCCCGAGCTTGCATTACATACCTAAAGTACATTTACATTTCATGAAGATAATATGTAGGAATGCGTCAAAATTTTACACGATTCCAGTCGAAATCACTTTGTTTACATGTTATGACATCGTAAAGTTGTCATGGTAAATAAGGCTATACAGGAATATATAGCCGACCTTCAGCTCCATTGACTTCCATATAAATGCTTCGCTAGGTATGTAATACTTGTCCATATCACCTTATACAAGGTTGCTCACCTTTCTCCCTCAAATGTATATTGGGAAATACAAGGTAATATGTATTTCTCAATAAATATCTGAGGGAGAAAGGTGACCAGTAAATAAGTAAAGATACGAAGTGCAAGTCTAACCCCTAAATTAAAATTTTATTCTATCATATTAGTGTTCTGTGTAATTTCAGCTTACTGAACATCTCACTACATAAAGAAATTCATTTTGAGAGTTATAACTATTCTAAGTATCCTAGAAAATAAATTTTTGAACAATCGATTTATGGATAAAATGTTCAAACAGCATTCTATCTAAAGAAGTAATACAGGTACAACTAAGATAACTACTGTTAAATTGATTAGGAAATTCTAAATGAAATACATGTAATGTGAATGGTGCCTTTTTAAGACTACAAATAAGGATACACAATGATTGTGCATGCAGAATAATAAAACTGGTACTACAAATATAAATAAATTACTATAATAAAAGGGAATATAAAAACTCATTAATAAAATTTACCTGGATTCACTGCATGAAAGTAAAATACAAAATAATGCCATTTGGAAATGAGGTTATATTGATCATGGGGTTAGTATGGACTATATCATACAATTGTTCCCATAAGCACTAGTCATAAGTACTACATTCTACCCATAACCATCGTACAAATTGTACAATCATGTATAATTTGGTTATTCTGTTAGTAAAAGGCATGTAGACCAGTGTTTAGTTTTTAGAAAGGTAATGCCACCAATTTTGTGAATGGGAAGCCAAAATCCATTTAAGAAAAACATTAAGTTTTGATTCTAAGTTCTTCTCTTTAGACCTAGAAAATTAGTATTGCTACAAACAATCGTCCAATGTCTTACCAACAGCAAGGAGAGGATCTGGAAGGTTTTAGCACTTGTTAAACAGGAAATGTGATTGCAAGAACATGCAATTATTATATCATGTACATTGATTGGAGAGGGGTTATCACAAGGATGTTTAAACAAGGTGGTTATAAATTCATCAATGAAGACCAGCAAAGTCAATCAAATATGTAATTTAGAAATGTTACAGGATGCTATTCACTGTTATAACAAAAACATAATGTACAAACAGAACTTACTATTACATAACCATAATAGCAAAATTAAGTATATATAATCAGGTTAGAATTAAATGAAATTCATGCATCCATGCTCAAGTGTTATCTACAAATGATATACATATCGGGGCCAATCGTGTACCTCTTTTCATATGGACAGCTCTTCCCTTTGCACTGGGTGGGGGGACATAGACCTTGAAGTCCTCTGTCTCAGATGCCCTACTCTCAACTACCAACTCTGTATAGCTCTGCAGACGTCTATCAAGGTGGCTGATTTTCTTGTTAACATCATCTATTGACCCAATCAGGAATGCTAAGACTTTGTTAAGGAGGTTTCAAATTGCCTATGATACCATGTACATATTAATGGAATTCTTTTTAAAATACTGTAACAGCCGGTCCATATCGAGAAAACTGTTCCTTGCTTCAGGGACTCCAGATTAAACAAGAATACTTGTTTCAAAATGTCTTTACTTCCAATTATTCCTTGGTTAGGCTTTTATATTTGTTTTTACAAAAATAGAACTACTGAAAACCACAAGGAGTATATCACTGATCCCCTTCTCAATAATTTGTCGTATTTTTGAGACCAATTGTTGGTACCTAAAATGCTGTAATTTAATTGGTCAACATAATTAACTTCAACCAATAGAAACCTTACCTGTTGTCACATGACCCAATATTATAATTATTACCCGCCAATTTTACTTACCTTCACTTACAACAAAGAACTTCTTATATCAACAGCTTCTTTTTAAAATTCCAGGTAAGGTTTTTATACATTCATTTATTTCAAATCAAGTTATTTTCAATATTGTAATTAATTAAAGTAATTTCAATCTTTTATTTACAACAAAGAACTTCTTATATCAACAGCTTCTTTTTAAAATTCCAGTTGACGTTAAAATTCTTTTCCCCACCCTAAACCCACCCTCTACATTTTATCAAGAATTCACAATTAGGGTGGGCGCGACCTTGTTGGCTTCACTCATTCGCGGCATTCACTCACAAAATACCCATGCTATGGCGCTGCTTACTAGCCATTAATCAACACATCGTCAAAAGTGATTCTGGCGATGCATCTATGTCTGAAAAAAACATCAATGTTTTTAAAAAAAAATTAATCTGCTAAAAATAATCTTTTCTCATCCCTTTTTCCAGCAAATGTCTTACAATTCTCATTCCTTAGCTGCAGTTCCCAATGTTCTCTGATATTTTTTACTTTAAAAATGTTTAACATTGCCAAAAAGAACCAATGACCTCCAATGTTCACTTTATTTTCCTAACATCGTTAGTGGAAGTACCGAAGTACATTTACTTAATTGTTGCATTCACAATTTCAGTATTTTAGTGCATTTACATTCAGTATTTTTGAACATTTCAAAACATCCTAGCAACGGAATATTGTAGTCTATGTACGATATGAATTGACATTAAACTAAAGGATACGTGATTTGGCTCTTTGTCTGTCTCTTAATCGACGTTTCTTTTCTTCTAATTGATCCTTGGTTAGGCTTAAATCCTCATTATATATGTTCATCGGCGAATGTGCTCTGTTAATGTCCGCCATCTTGAAATCACTGTCAACAATTTGGTTGATGGCCGATGTAAGCGATCACGAGACTTCAGCAAATCTCGCCTACTTCCTTTTGCCTGTGGAATTTTTCCTATATGCAGATATTTTTAGTCTACACACACACATACACACTCTTACGCGTAGGCTGGTTGATCGTCCATATACACTTCATCCACCCATACACCTCCAATGCACCGTTGTTGGCGTGGTAAACGGGGTACATATTCTTACATATCCCCCATACACGTCATCCTACTATGGGGTAAACGGGGTACATACTCTGGCATGAACATATCCCCTCAGTATACACTTTATCTTACTATAGGTATATATGTACTGTGATTGGCGAGGTAAACGGGGTACATACAGTCACATATACTTACATATCCCCCATACACGTCATCCTACTATAGCCTACCGTGGTTGGCGGGGTAAACGGGGTACATGCTGTCACACATATAGTTCCAGATCCCCCGGCATACACGTCATCCTACTATAGCTGTGGTTGGCGGGGCAAACGGAGTACATACTGTCACTGTCACACGTAATTACATACCCCCATACACTTCACCCTGCTATAGGTACCGTGGTTGGCGGTGTAAACGGGGTACATTCTCTCACATGTCATTCATACACGTCTTCATACACGTCACCCTACTAAGTACCGTGGTTGGCGGGGTAAACGTAGTACACACTGTCCCATGTAGGGACATATCCCCAATATATGTCATCCCGCTATATGTACTGTTGTTGGCGGGACAAACGGGGTACTTACTGACACATGTATTTTCTATACACTTCATCCTACTCTACGTAGCGTGGGTGGCGACGTAAACTGCACACTTAGTGGCGTAGCAACAATGTACGCCAAAACGCCAGTGCGTAGAGTTGAAAAGTTAAAATTAAACGGCTTATTAATTTCCCCATGTTCTTTATAATCATATTTTCTCTCTGTGAATTAATTGTTTGTGATCTCGAGCACACATGTTTTTAGACACAATGCAATGGCATTCAATAGTACACGTAGGCATTTAACATCATAATGCTTTATTTCATAAAAATAGAGCCACTACTGCGTATTTATTGACTATCTTATGAATTTTAAAAGTAAAATAAAGTTTCGCCAAGTATTCGCGAGTCAGTTCTCTTCACGAATTTGAGAAAAAAAACAGATTTTCAAAACTACTTGATGAATACTTTTACAATTTTCATAGACCAAAATAATGTTGGAATAATATGAAGTAATTATCTATTTTCTTATCAAATCACTTGTGAATGTTAAAGAAAAAAAGAAAAAAGTTGAACTTGAAATTGTTAATTATTCAATTAGGCGTTCCACTGATTTCTGAGTTGACGCGATACCTGTAATCTCTGAAAGTACATAACCCCAGTTCTATAAAAGCTATTACATTGATTCTTCTTTTGAAAGATGATATATGATTGTTTTTTTTAAGAAATAGGTATTTTTTATTTTTTATTTAGGAAGGAAATTAACAATCAAGAGTCAGTAACAATCAAAAAAACTTAACTGGAAACTGTGCTCATTGTGAAAATTAAAAGTGAAGCTACATTTTTCTGATATTTCTTAAATCAAATGCCAGCAATCTTGTTTTTCCCCCTCAAATTAAACTGGCGGGAAATTTGAAAAAAAACTTAAATCTTTAAATATATTCAAAAACATGATTTTCTTTTTAATTCTTCATGGGAGACTCATCCTTTGTCGTCTGTAGCGATCGAGAAAATAAACACATTCGAACAATTTGAGCGCATTAAGCTTAGAAAGGTACAGAGTGTTCAAAAAACGCAACTCAAAGAAATTGCTATATCTTGGAAAATACTTACCCAATTGTATTCATTATTTCAGGAAAGAAAGAAGAGACTGTGTATGTAAAGCTCCTATTGTTAGTTAGTTGTAAAACATGATGTCTTGGATACCTGCTCAAAATACATTAGTATTATAAAAGTACGAAAAGCGCGAATGGAAAATCGCTATATCTTGGGAAATACTAATTCAATTATGTAATCTTCATGATGCTTTGGACACCTGCTCAAAAAACAATTGTACTAGGAAAATACGAAAAATGCAGCCAGTGGTGACTGCAGCCGCAAAAAAGAAATAACTTCCAACCATAGACTGTGTTTTGGCTCTTCAAATTTGGCACAAATCATCTTCATTCAATGTATTGTAAATCTGTAGAGTGAAATCAAAATCACTTCAGGGACTTTACCGTCATGGTCGAAATGCTTTCAAATCGCAGTCAAACGCCCTCGTTTAGGCAGACTTAAGAATGCATTTTTACCATGACTGTATTTCTCTATAGAAAAGGATAGGCCTAAAACAATATGCTAAATGGGGAATCAACGTTATTCAATAATAACACGTCAACCTGATGTTTTATTCTTGCATCTTTATCTTTATACTGAACAGTTATTTACGTGTGTAAATTGTTATTCATGGGAGGAGTGACTGAAATGCCATCTACAGGGTGTCCCATCATGTTTTAATAATTTTGCTAAAAACAACTTTTTTGTAGTCACGTTTTGAAATTTTCAACATTTATTCCTGAGGATAAAGTTAATATGTACTAACATTTGTGAAATGATTCCACAAGGTCCTCATATATTTGAAAAAGTAGTTATGACCTGCCAAACGTGTCTGTGGAGCATGGAAGAATGTTCTCTTCACACTTTTCGTGCAAGTTGGTGACAGTCAAGAATGCCATGAGGAAGAAGCGCCTTCTTGGTACACGTGGGTCACAAGGTGCCGATTTATAGATCGCTTAAGACCCAAGAGACCATTCAGTCATTGTAAGTCTTTCGGAACATTTGTAATGAGACCGGATGCAAACTTTCTACACAAAATTATCATATTGAAAATGAACTTCAAACATTCATCTTTTATAAATGTAACTTATTCGTATTGGTATATTTTAATCGTGATAGTGTATTCAAAGTAATTTACAGTTGATCGATTGCTTTTATTTTCACAATATCTTATTTGGCGTACCCACATACTAGTAATCATTTTGATCGTTTTACCTCAAACTTCTTGGATAAACATAGTGTTGCCTCAAGAATATATTACATGTATATAACACATCTGAGAATGTGTTTAGTAAGTAATGGAGGGGTTTCACATGGCAAGTAGCTAAACAGAAAAACACTCACAGTATACATGGTATAACTTTAAAATTTTATTCCTAAATCTCAATTTATGCATTTAAAATTTCAAGAGTACAATCAAACTGGATATTCTACAACTATAATGTTTACATATATACATAAATAAAATGATTCACCCTCTTCGAACATGACTTTTACTTGACTTTTCTCATATATTTGGTGATACCTCATCTTCAAAATCATAATGAATGACAACAGAGTATACGATTGGCGTTGGCCATTTAATTAAACGTTTAAACTTTTAAACATTTAATTTAACGCGGAAATGCAATTAAAATACCAAACCGCAAAGCAGTGAAAGGAGTGATATCGATATTGGGAACTTTTTGAACACACAAAATATATATATACTTTCATCTATATTGTTTTAGAAAACACATCAAACACTTGTTTTGTTCTTGGTATCATGTTTCCAGAGTGAAATGAAACATCTTTCCGAACCTCATTGGAACAAAACGACATAAACCATGTTTAGGTCTCTCAATATTGTAATTGTACAAATGAAATTTTGGTTGATTTTAAAAAAGTATCTTGTTAATGAAATAAAAGGTTTATCTTGATTTTTATCTATTTTGGGGGGGGGGATTTTGTTTTAATTTTTTGAATACTTTTTTAAAATAATCCAAAAATTCCTTTGTATAACTATAATGTTGAGAGGTGTAAAAACATGTTGTATGCTATTTTGTTCCAACAAGGTTGGGAAAGACATTTTATTTCATTCTCAAGAATTGGTAGAAAGGAGCAAAAACAATTGCACTAAAAAAACAAAAATGTTAACAAAAACAGTTATATAAAATATTTTAAAATAAGAGGAAGTGTGTAGGGATATGTAAATACATATCAGAGTATGTACCCCATTTACCCTGCCAACCACGGTACCTATAGTAGGATGACATGTATGGGGAATATGTAAATACATGTGAGAGAATGTACCCCGTTTATCCCGCCAACCACGGTACCTAGAGTAGGATGAAGTGCCACGGTATAGGAGATATGTAAATACATATGAGAGTATGCAGTACCCCATTTACCCCGCCAACCACGGTACCTATAGTAGGATGAAGTGTATAGGAAATATGTAAATACATGTGAGAGCATGTACCCCGTTTACCCCGCCAACCACGGTGCCCATAGTAGGATGAAGTGTATACGGAAAATATGTTAATGCATGTGAAAGTGTGTACCCCGTTTACACCGCCAACCACGGTACCTATAGTAGGATGACGTATATTATGGGGGATATGTAAATACATGTGAGAGTATGTTCCCGTTTACCCCGCTAACCACGGTAACTATATACCTATGGTAGGATAAAGTGTATACTGAGGGGATATGTAAATACATGTACCCCGTTTACCCCGCCAACCACGGTACTTATGGTAGGATGACATGTATGGGGGATATCTAAATACATGGGACAGTGTGTATACAGTTTACACCGGCAACCACGGTACTATGGTAGTATGAAGTGTAGAGGGGATATATAAGTACATGTCAGAGTATGTACCCCGTTTACCTCGCCAACCACGATGTCCACAGTAGGATGACGTGTATGGTGGATATGAAAATACATGTGAGAGTATATACAGAGCTGACCCGGCCAAGCAGTATTGGGGACAGGACGAAGTGTTTATGGGTGACAGATACCCTACACGTAAGAGTGTAAAGGTGTGCAGGTAAGGGATCAAGTACTGCACGCATGCGTACATAATAGAGAAGACTTTGACATGCAAACTGAGTATGTAGAAAAGATTTCACGGGCAAAACGGAAGTAAGCGAGATTTGCTGAAGTCTCGTGATCGCTTACATCGGCCATCTACCAACAATTTTGTACCAAGCTACTATAAAGTTTCGTAAACTAGACTATAATCCATATTTATGTAGGATATCCTATGATAGAATAAGTTTAACCTCAAAACTCATTTGGTTGTTTGTCTTTTTGAATTAGAAAGGCAAATTATCGAATATTTAGTCCAAACAGAAGATTTCTACATACAGCATCAAAAATATATTAGCTCCGTACACTTTCATTTTTGAAAATAATATTTTGAAATTTTAGGTAAGTTTTATGCTTTTTAAACGTATTCAAGCATGTATCTGATAGCATTTTTAATTGAGAAATATTGTCTTAGTTGTGGCATTATTTTGTGCAAATTATAGGGATCTAATCTATAGATTTAAACGAGTAAAGCAAATATTTTGAGTTTTCAAAATTTGATGGATGATGTTTAGCCACGGACCTCAGCCAGATTACCTCCTCTGTGTCTAGGCTCAATAAATATACTCTAGAACAAGACACGAGATTTATTTTTCCTTGATTTTGGAGTCAGTTTATCAATAAATATCACATGTCATACCTCAAATGATGCGTACTGTAGCTTCAACTCCAATCACTAAAGCCACACATCCAAGAAAGCGTCAGTTGATAAAAGCATAAAATAAGCGAGGGTATATTTAATGGAGTGCTTCGGCTATCTCCGTTGTTCAAATGATTATTCCTGAAGTCAAATTCCTTTTCTGAGAATGTGATGCCACTCCGGATGACGTCACATCAGAGATTACCGAGAAGTTCCATGACGTTTCTTTAAACTCCTGTAGAAACAATAACAACGGTTTGTTAGGCTTCGCGATCCTTTACTTTCATTGGCTGTTTGTTGCGATGTGATGTAATTTGAGAGACGAACAACATCGGACACTGCCGGAAATTACCGAAGCACTCCATTATCTTTACGCTCTGAAAATTTGAAATAAATGTCCCGGGAAAAGTCGAATTACAGCGTCAATAATGGATATCATGCAACCATTCAAACAAATACATAAAGAAGAGATTACAGGGTAAATATTGATCAATCAGACAGATGGAAAAAATAAAGGTCAGTACGAGGGTCATATTTTTGGGTGGTCATTTTTTTGATGTAGCATTTTTGGCTCGTTGCTTATCTTCCCATTTATCCTTTGAGCCTACTACCAATGAAGGCCACTATCGTGCCCTTCGTCCAAAGATAAATCCCTGCATGTTTTTACCCTGCCGGATGTGAGTCATGTCGCTGTAGATGGGTCATATACATGTAGTAATTTTGAAATTTGAAATCAAATGTTCGCCTTATTTCCTCACCAAAGATTTCAAAACATACATGAAGTGATCAATGTATTAGTTCACATCTTTTGGGTCGCTAACTTAGAATTTATAGCCAGTTACTAATGTCAGACGTTAACAACATTTCGTCCAGTTTTCGAATATCACCATTTTTCTTGGAGCCGTAGACGAAATCCTGACAAAATCATTCAATATCTCATCAAGGAGCCCAGCTAGTTCCATTTCAATTCATGAAATATTAACATGTAATAAAAACCTGTGATATTGTTCCTATGATAAAATCTCTTGGTTGAATTAGCAAACAGATCGTTATTTAGATCAGCGTTTGGGTTAGACATGATAGCTTGCAACTACTAAGATGCATGGCAGGTAATATTCATATTCAAATGAGTTTGCTATCAAATCGCAATTACCGTTGATTACACTTTAGAGAGGAGAGAATGTGTCAGTTTGGGAAAGAGGTTTGATGCATTCACTCCTTTAAAGTGTAGTTGTAAAAGATACACCTTTAACAGGAACATACAGGGCTAGAGGTTGTTTCCAATCTTTATTCATACTAAGCTAGGTGACTGAAATAACGAACACTCAAATTTGATTGTTTTCAGATTATTTAGATTTACCATGCCCTTATTTGGCGGGAATAAGTTTTCACCAAAGAAGACCACTCCAAGAAAGACTCCTTCTCTCTCTAACTTACACCTTGACTCTACTCAGCAACAGGAGGAATTTGGATTAGATTTTGGACCAATAAAAGTTAATCTAGGGGGAAGCGAGGCTGTTTTTGAAGATGGCCAATGGATATCAGGTAAAACATTACTTTTACATGTCAATTCAATTTAATTTATTTATTTCATAATTCTTATATAATATACACTATAAAAACAAGCTGCTAGACACCCTAGTGGGTGCAGTTTAACATAAATTTTTAAAATTACATCTAGACTACATATAAAAGAAAGCACTTATATTATGTTACATGTAGGTATATAAAATGGTATTAACAATTACTTTAAGGATGTACAATGTAGAAATGTTACAAAAAATCAGGTACCAGTGTAAAATCAACAATACAGTATAATATTGGTGTTATACATTATCGATAGATGAGTAGATTTTTATATGAAGATTTGAAAATATTTAGAGTGGAGCATTTTTTAATATCATCTGGTAGAGCATTCCAAAGATTAGGACCTAGATAGCGAAGGGAAAGTTTAGAGCATTTAGGGATATGAAAATAATGTAACTGTCTTGTGAAATGATGATGGACATTAATGTTGATATCAAACAAGTCTTGAAATAGATTTTTTGGAAGACTTGGGTGTTAATTAAAGATTTTGTACATGAACTGACCAGTACAATATCTGTTAACATTAAAAATATTTAATATTTTAAGATCTTTAAATAGGGGAGTGGAGTGAGAAACTCTATCCTTATTTAAAGCTAGTCTTAAGAATTGTTTCTGCAGTTTATGTAGACAATCATAAAATGATTTAAATGTGTTACCCCAGATTATGTTGCAATAATTTAACTGAGAGTGTCTCAATGAGTAGTAAATTGTTTTGAAACTGTCTATTTGAAGTAGATGTTTAATGTGATAAAGAGAACCAATAACGCGAGAAATCTTTGTTTCAACAGATTTTATATGCTCTTTAAATTTCAGGTTTTTATCAATAATGATTCCAAGAAAGTCAATTTTTTCGCAGAAATTTATGTTCTCATTGTGTATTTTAAGATTCAGATTTGTGTGATTTCTTTTGGGTCCAAATAGAATAGCATTGGTTTTGCCAATATTAAGTGAAAGTTTGTTTGTTTTTATCCAGTCATCTATTGAATTCAAGTTTGAATTAGTTCTAGTCATAAGTTCATTTAAATTATAATCACTATCAAGAAGATTGGTGTTATCAGCAAACATAATAAATTTTAGATTAGGGGCAACAATAGGGAGACCATTTATGTAAAGAATAAATAATAGTGGCCCAAGTACCGAGCCCTGCATGCGGAACACCACAATTTAGAGATTATTAACTTATCTTTAAAATCTGGTATTTTCCCAGATGCCCTCAAATTGGCCAAAGTAACTAATCCCACTCATTATCCTAACGAACGTAGTTCAGTGGAAATTCTGATGTATCTTTAATGTATGTATTTCGGTATCTGCCAATTATAATTAAGGGTAGAGTAGATGGTAAATACAATAATATATTTTGACATATACAGATTCATGAATATGGTGTTCGTTGGTATTTTGCCATTGGCTATTATGTGGAGTTGCAAATTTCTAGATATACTGGAGGGTACTGTTGTCAACCCAGCTTGTCTGTCCAATGGTCAAACAATTTTTAATTGAAATAAATTCCCATATGTATGGCAACCACTTTGAAAAATGAACACCATTTTGAAATGACTTTTAAGGTTTCAAACTCAAAAAGTGACTTTGTTGATATTTCACATCCCCCGATCACAGGGCTTCAAAATCCAGAATATATTCTTTCTTTTTACCCCCTGCGATGAGCAGTTAACATTTCCCCGATTAAGAACTTGCAATCTGATTGGCTGTCGCAACACTGCGACAGAAATCATGTATAAGTCATTGCGCATAATTAGATCACATGATTCAGTTTAATCGGGCGCTTCCAAATTGGTTATAGCAGGGGGAGGAAGGAGGTATGGATTCTGGATATCTGCTTAGGAGGATGATATTTCAGGGTACAGACATTTAAGAGTAACATATCGTAAGCCTAATATTGCAACCATTTTCATAAATGATTGCCAATTTCTAATGTACCCTTTTACATTTTCACTTTTTTTGAAAACCAATGAAATCAAGAATATTTACTAGACCTCATGATACCGTGAGCTTGCTTGGCAGTATCATGGCTAAGGCACAGGGCTATATAAATAAGCTTGGCAGTATGTACAGCTCGATGTAGATTCTAAAGTGCTCATGGTATGTTGAGGTCTGGTTGGTACCCGTAATGATACGCCCCATTGTTGCAATATTATATGCCTGATGCTTGATTGGTGTTAAAAAAATACAAATACAAATAAATGTTCAGCAACTTCTATTTCAATAAGTAGGCTATATACTGTACAATAGGGTGCATCAAAAATCTTCAGACATGTTAAATTAAAACAAGAACAATTGCACAATAAATTTCATGCACAATTCATAAATCTAAACATATCATTTAGTATTTTTTATTAACCTATAGTGTGAAACATTTTTAATGGTGAATTAGCATCTGTTCTATTAAGAAAGTGGAATATGTGTTGAGCAGGCCTCAAGATCTTTGCTTGTGAATCATCAAATCTTTCCAAACTTTTTTCATAACATCGACAGTAGCACTATCAGAATACAGATGAGTGAAGGTTGGCTTATCTGCTGATATCAACTTCCTTAAAGTAGTATTCTCATATAACTTCCCTAACTCCCTATCTTTCCTGTTCCTCCTCGCACACCTTGAATCTTGCAGTGGGACATTGAGCATAGCCAGTAAAATCCCGATATAGCGATCATCTGTGAATGTCAGGGGGGTTTTGCAGGCAAGTTTATATAAATCAGTTGCAACATCAATGCTAAAAACAACGGAGAATCCAATCAGGAAGCCAGGGGTATAGGGATGGGAGGTCCAGTTTAATGAAGGTTCCGAGTATATACTGTATTTTCCTTGTGTGAAAACCTTTCCAGGATTTCTAGTATGACATCCTAGTGCTAATTTCCTTACTCTATCTATTGGTCCCACTTTTTTGATTATATTTATAATATCAACAACAACATCATCTGTTAGGATAGTACAAGCGATGCTTTTTGACAAACTTTAATCGCCCATTTTAAGCCTTCAAAACGTTTCTTTGTTAAACCACGATATGAATCATCAAGATTTAACTGTAAGATATCTCCATATTTTTTGGCCTCTCTGTCAATCTGGCTTTGTATAGAGACATTATGTGTCTGCCCTAACAAGAAAATAAGTTTATGTGAATATCCATACACACGCTGGAATGTTCCTAAAGTTTGTCTCATGGCTAAACGTACGTCAAAGACTGGCCAAGATGAAGATATGACACTTATGATGTCCACTGATTTGTAATGCTCCTGGATGGGATGAATTATCTCACTTATAGAGTCTAAATAAGTATTGTTCCATTTCTTAAACTCAAAGAAAGGGAAAGGTATCTTTTGTTTTAAATACTTCTGTTTTTTAACAACTTTGGGGAAATCGAGAGGCCATTTTGCATTTATGTTATAACAAAAATTGTTCTTTATATCTGATGCATTTTTCTTTATATCTGATGCATTTTTCTTTTGTTGAAATACAGAGCTATGATATCTTTGAAACTTTTTATGATGAATCATCAGCACCTCTATGATTACCATACACAAGAGGATGCATAAGAAAATAGTAAAGGATTTCCAATACCATCGCATTGCTTTTGAGTGATTTGCCATTTTGAAATGTCTGTAAGTCGTGTTAGTTAAAGTATGTGTCAGTTCAGAGATTTATTTGTTTGATCATCCTTTGTCAGTTTAGAGATATTCCAAAATCATCATCAATTGATTTGAGGTTTACTAGTTGATCTTTGTTGATATTTGTCAGATGATCCATTCGAGTCCAATGCACCAAGAATCTGAAACTGAAAAAGGTAATCGATGAAGCTAAAATGATAAGAACAACTGAACGTTTCATCCTCAAAAGTCTATTTGAATTGTTCAAATCTACCAGAACTGATATTGTATACGCTTTATCTGATCTGTTACCAGTCCAGTTCACACTTGACCTACGAAAGCTGTCGTTTCTCGGTCTGCTTTGCAACATGCAACAGCTGACGTTGACAAAGGACATCTTTCTGTTTAGAGCAAATTTGCTTTACGGCGGAAATCACCGGCAGGCAGGATTTGTCGCCGACATTTCAAACATTCTGAAAACCTACGAATTAGAACAATACCTGATTCAATATCTAGACAACGGGTATTTTCCAAATAACATCTTGTGGAAACGCATTTGTAAATATGTAGTCAGACAACGCTTCCTAGTTCAAAGTGAATCTCAACGCAATGACATCAGAATTTCCGTTTCTGTTTTGAGAGATCATAATCTTTGGAACTTAGCCAGAAAACGGAATTATCTACTTCCGTATATTCTCACAGCAGTCAAAGTTTTAGCCATGCCCGTCAATGACTCCAACCTTCTTTGCGATAGATGTGGCAATTTCTATAAGGATGCTATAAATCACATGCTAATCGACTGTAATGAGTACAATCACATGAGGAATAAACTCATTATTGACATTGCGTTACCCAACAACCACCCAGCGTTCGATCCAAGAGAAATCTGTGCTTCTGTATGCGGCCCTGCCTCGGAGTCATTTGAGATGCATAATTTAGAGCTCATCCTGAGATACATTCATATAGTCATATCAGACTCAGGGATTAGTCTCGTACCCTTATTTGCATAAACTTGCAGAAGATCTAGTCTTGTAATCTGAAATTTTTATACTACTTTTAAAGATTGTAAATATGTTGTCACCTTGTTTATGTTTATGTTTTATGTTTATTGTATTAATCAAACAATGTAATTAGTTTATATGAAATCCGATTTAAAATCGGGAATAAAAGATACATACATCAACCAATCATTAAAAACATTCTGTAAAAAAACACGGTATTATATGTAATGTTGACTGATTGACAACAATTAAAAGCGAAAATTATTTAGAAATATTTAATATACATGTAGCTGTTTTTCTTAACATTTTTTGTTTTTTTAGTGGCGTTGTTTTTGCTCCTTTCTCTAATAAAAAACAAGAAAATTCAGTGAAAAAAATCAGAAAATTTTCAGAACATTTTTTCACTGAAGTTACTCGTTTTTTACTAGTATACATTTTACAAAACAAATCTTCTCACCAGTCTCTTCTAGACACATGTGCACTCTTTGTGCAAAACTGGAAGATGTAGACAATGTGTAGAAGGAGTGTTCCTTTTAAAAAATAACATGTGACTCAATTGAGGAATGCAGAAAAGTTCCAAACATTACGAGTGTAAACTCAAAATAAAAGTGAGATTTCAGTATAAAAGATTGAAATGCGCCAGTGAATTTAATGTGTAGTAGTAAATTAGACTCTTTTGAAGGCTATGAACCTGGGACAAAGTTACATTCACAGCATGTGATGCACAAAAAGCTTTGAACTTAAAAGAACAGAGAAGGTTTTGAGTCACCTAATAAGACTCCTAAGTCAGAAGCTATGCATTATCTGAAAGTGAGCTTTACAGGGAAAGTGAAAGTCGGATTTCAGGGGTTATATCATAAGTTCAGTATTATTAAAACTTTATTCTAGGTATAATTGATAAATCTATAGTTTCAAAGCTATTCTCAGAGTAAAAAGTGCTTGGGGCTTATTCTCTGGCCTGTTGATTTCATGGGATGTTGCATCAGTTCAGCCAAGGGCAAATGGGAGATCATTCCAATTATTCCTCATATTGTTCCATTCTTCAATGAGATATATCGGCCAAACATCATTTATGACTGAGAAACAGTTGCAATGTCAACATCTAACGTCAGGGAGAGTAGAGGGTAGTCAGGGTAAGATCTCAGCCAGATCAATGTAAGACGGTCTATTGTAAGGCGACGGGCGTTGTCGTATACCAAAAGGCAAAAAATTACCAGCCATCTCATGAAATGTATTAACTGTTCCACCCAAAGTTTTAAAAAATTTATATGGGTGTATTCAAAATAATCCAAGGACATCCTGTCCTTGCCAGTTGTTGTTATTTAATCCCCATCTGTAACGAAAATTTGACAGGGGATATGGAGGAGGCGCAAATAAAAACATCAGGATTGGAATTATCTCGCTTGGAAGGCTTTCTGGTGGTGGTGCAGCTAGAAACATATTAAGCAATGCAACTTATGCCTTGGTCACATTTGCTCCGATTTTCACTACGGTGCCCGGTCGATTGAGTATTTTGTTCAAAATTGAATACAATATTGAACAAAACACTCAATCGGCCGGTGCCCAGCCGATGGATCGGAGCACTACGGTGCCCGGTCGATTGAGTATTTTGTTCAAAATTGAATACAATATTGAACAAAACACTCAATCGGCCGGTGCCCAGCCGATGGATTGGAGCATATGAGCCCAAGGTCATATGAGACCTTGGTCACATTTGCTCCGATTTTCACTACGGCGCCCGGTCGATTGAGTATTTTGTTCCAAATTGAATACAATATTGAACAAAACACTCAATCGGCCAGGTGCCGGCCGATGAATCGGAGCAAATGTGATCATGGCATAATGCATGCTTCTCTCTTAGGGTCAAAGTATACCTTCTATTCAAAATGCAATCATAAACATATTTGACCATTTTTGACATTTTCCCTGAACAAATTGCCTAAACAACTCAGCATCTATATCAAAAGCTTCAATGGGTATACTTTAATTATGTGAGTACATGAGTAGAGAGAACTATTTCCACTGGAAACCAGCTTTTCATTTTGTACACATTTGAAACCACATGTTTTACACATAACATTGCATTTACAGACGATAACTGACCGGTTTCAAACACAAATTCATAATCTATAGTAATAAGAATATTTATTGGTGCAGATATATAACATGTAACTGCATTGAGATATTTATGCACTGGGGGATAATATATGAAAATACAGTCATGCACAGTTGTCAATATACTGTACATGAAGATAAAGTTCGGAAATAAAATGTTAAGGCGACGCTATATTAAATAAAAAGTACAAAAAATGACTGCCATATTTTTTTGATAAAGAAACATGTTTTTAAAATCTGTTTACCTTGTATATGAATTGTGTATCTTGACTAATGAAACATGTCAAAGTTAACATCACACATAAACGCATTTTTCCAAACTATGAATTGGAGGTGCATGGATCCCCAAAGCTAGCATGAAGAGTGCGAAGTGAGGCTAATTTTTGAAAGTTTCAAGGAGTAGCCTTGCAACAGTCACACATTTGCAAGAGTCTAAAATTTCCACAAATCATCTTACCTTTCCCAGGAACAACGAAGGAGCATGAAAGTGTGCACTTCTTGCATTGTTAAAAGCTCAAACCATTGTAAATTCTAAATATTTCATGTCCACATTTTGTTTGCCGGAACTACTTCTAGACTTCCTGATTAATCCTCATGCAAGTTTTGTGACTACACCAAGTGGCATGGATTATCACTTGTATGTTTTATCTATTACAGTGTAATTATCATGATAGATACATGATAGAGGCTTTATGAATGATAAACAATGGAAACATGAATGAAGATAACTCTGGACTAAAAAATAGTTCCAGGAAACAAAATGGTAGACATGAAATATTTAGAATTCACAATGGTTTGAGCTTTATTATACTCTAACAATGCAAGAAGTACACATTTTCGTACTCCATACAAGGAAAACAGTATACAAAATCTTCTGACTTTATCAAAAAAATATGGCTCCCATGTTTTTGTACTTTTGATTAACTTAAATGTCACCTTAAAATAAATTGTTTTTTTCCAATTAACCCTTATGACTTGACTCCTGAAATGTGACATTCACTTTCCCTGTAAAGCTCACTTTCAGATTCCGAATAGCTCCAACCTATTACACACTACTATACCCCCATACTGTATCCTGTATTCCTTTAAAAGAAGTACAGGCTACAGGGAAGTTGCAAATGGAGGACGTTTGTTTATTTCCATAGTTCTGAATGTATACTAGATTTTACACATATTCTAAGTGTTCTACTATACATTGTATAGATTCATTGAGCAGTTTGCAACGTATTATTACCAGAAAAGCCCAATGGACAAAGATAGAGAATACCCGCTCCATTTGCAACTTAACCGTACCCTGTATCATTTTTAAATGTGGTCACGTGGTAGGGTAGTGTGTATTAGTAGATGTTTTGCAGCCAATTTACAAGGCATTCTTAGGTGGCCCAAACTAGGTTTAACTTCTAGCAAGATTTCACCGATGGAAGTCAAAATTTAAATCATGCAATCATAGAATTTATGCTCCTGTAATTAATTCCTGATAGATAAATTTCCAAACAAGCATACATACCTTATGAATAAAAGCACACCATTCTATCGTGGTTACCATACAAAATACTTATGTAAGTGGTCACTGACCATGACAGACCACCAGGCTTATGTTCGAATCAGTTTAGGGACAACTTCAAAAATACAAATGTACTAACTAGCTCTCACAATTATCTCTAAAGAATGAAATAAAGAACTTAGATAAAACAAAACTATAAAGTAGTCAGTTGATTAATATAAAGGAAGTTAATCCTTTATAACACTATATCCACCTGTGTCCTCTATGATGTATAATTAGAATGTTTTTGAAACAGC